TTTTATTTTATTTTACAGTACAGCAGTAAAATTACAATACTAACATTTATGAATGTTGGAGTTCTTGCTTTTTGTCAACTTTTATTTTGACGGAAACACGCAGGAAGACCTCAATGCTTCTTTTTGTTGACAGCAGATTTATCGCACGTATCGCATTGTCACATGCCTTGTAAAAAATAAAAAAAATGTGACTGAGCAACTGATGAGTAACACTGTTTCAGCACAGATTTTCGCTTTGGACTTTGAAACCTGGTTAACAAGCAGATCCGCCACGAGTTCGTGCAGCGCTGTCAGAATACATGCAATTCGTGCGTGCATTAGAAAACATAACGTTCTGCAGTTTTTACTAATTGTTTAAGGCCATTTCGCGATTTCAATCATCATACAGTAAACCAGCACCAATCACCCCTTCCTCTTCTCATCGAAGACATGCGATGCAGTACTAAACAGTCTCTCGCTGTCGGTGCTTGTAATGATTTTTGCGTCTTTCTCATACAGTTTAAATGCTTCTACACTGCTGACATGTTTGTTGCATTATGAGTGTGCGCCTTTCACTTTACGCTGGTTGCTATTTGATAGCGTCACGTCATTGTTTGGTACAATTTATTGTTTTTTTTTTATATTTTCGGCCAAATAATTTTGGTTGCCGAACATTCGGTGCATCCCTAAACACAACCTTGTAAATGTATAAAGTGTAAATACCGAAATGTAATAAAGTAAAGTGCTTAGCAAACACCCTTTCTGTAACTGCAGGTCTAAATATGGTGAAAATGTTTAGTGATCCTATAACATTCGTGGTGAGAATAAAATTCAAGAAAGTTGGGTTCAACAGCATGCTTGTAGTGACACATTGACTGAAATAATATGATTGAATATGATTGGTGACAGGAGAACCATTTGAATGCATGGCAATATCAGGTGTAAATGGAAACCTGTCTTGGCTATTCACTTTTTGATGCAAGATGGCTATTATATGATAGGACAGTTTTCAATGACAGGAGGTCAGCATGTGTTCTTCTAGTCTATGAAGGTTTTCAGTCATCCAAGTCATAGCATGTCAGCTAATTTTTCAGCTTAGCCATTATTACATACCTCTCCAGTCTAGGGATGGGAAGGAGTAATAAAGAAAGTGGTGGAGAAATGGAGGGAGCTTTCCCCTTCTACTGACTCACACTTGACACCATAATCAGTGCAAAACAAAATAATTTATTAAACAAGGAAGCAAACAGAACTTCAGGACAGGTCAAGGCCAACATAATAAACAGAACATACTAACTCCCAAAAGCAATCTACCTAATCCAACAAATAAAAAAGTACAAAATATTACACTAACTCTCTTGCTTTCCTTAAACAGGAGAAAAAGGGTAGTCAAAATAAATGGCAACCACCTCCCTACTAGTGATGTTAGGTTCTTGAACGAATCGTTCTTTTGAGCCGGTTCTCTGGAAGTAACCAGTTGAGCCGGTTCACAAATCGAACTGAATCGAACTTTAGTTCCGGGTTAATGACGCAGGACGCACAGCCGAAGTAGCACGTCCAACTCAAAAAGAACCGAATGAGCCGGTTCAACCAACTGTCGAAGTTTGCCGAGGATTACCGGAGCCGGTTCACAAATTGAACTGAATCGAACTCTAGTTCCGGGTTGATGACGCAGGACGCACAGCCGAAGTAGCACGTCCAACTCAAAAAGAACCGAATGAGCCGGTTCAACCAACGGTCGAAGTTTGCCGAGGATTACCGAGGACTCAACAAGAACCGAATGAGCCGTGACGAAGTTTGCCGAGGATTACCGAAGATTCTGATGAGTGAGTTGACGATACTGTGCAAGCCTGAGGCGCGTACAGGAAATATGCTTATGACTGTTATTAATTTATATTTTATTAAAACCTGCCAAAACCTTTCTGTCGAGTGATGTAAATAAATTTTACAATAGTTTATTGTGCATGCATATTATATTTAAAGTTGCTTAAGCGAAATCAAGGAGTTTATAAGACTGGTTTATTCATTCTTTATACTGTAGACATGTAGAACATATCCACGTTTGTGCATCAATGTCTGTAATGTATGTTGTAGGTGCGAAACTTTTAGGAGTCTTATCCAAGTTGTAGGCTAGTCAATATTGCTCAGTCAGACGTATCTGAGGATCCACGAAAAAAACTGACCACAAACACCATTAACTAAGGTGAATTATATGGCAATAATCAGCAATATGCTTTCACACAAATAACTTTATTTTTGAATGTTTCAATTGATACAACATGGCACTGAGTTGTTAGAAAATAAATGTGTAAGAGACGTTATTGCTTGATGACGTCAGGAACCGATGAATCGGCTTTTTGAACCGGTTCAATGAGCCGATCTGTCCGAAAAGAACCGGTTCGCGGAAATGAATCGGACTTTGCATCACTACTCCCTACAGCTTCCCACAAAAAAAAAAAATGAAAGAAACAAAATACATTTTGGTCTTAACAGAAAAATTTTATAACTCACATGTTTGGGTTAAATGAGTCCTCCCACAAGAGGATTAAAGATCTTTCAACACACTTTTGTCAACAACAAGTTAACCACACACACTCTTGCTCCAAGCCTCCACACTCCAGACATCTCAGGCAGCTCTGCCTTTTAACTCCAAACATTTCCTCTAGTGGGTCAATCAGGATAGTGCAGTCATCAGCAGAATCATCAACTAACTGAACTCCACCTGTTAGCCTTATCAGCGTTTGAGAGGGAGAGAGAGAGAGAGAGAAAGAAGCAAAACAAAACAAACAGAGCACATGCACAAAAGAGACACTCCCACTTATATAGGTCCTGGGACGTAACAATGCAAGATGGATGTTATATGATAGAACAGTTTCAATGACAGGACGTCAGCATGTGTTCTTCTAGTCTATGAAGGTTTTCAGTCATCCAAGTCATAGCATGTCAGGTAAAATGAACACAAGAGCACTGAGGCTGGTTATTCACCACACTGCTGAATTAAGTAACACAGATTACTCCATCCTCACAGGAAGTGATTAAATCAAAGTATGCCGATGTGCAGCTGACACATGATGCTGATGCACACATTAGCTGAAGAGTCGACATACTGCTCATTTTCACAATTTTCTGTGTCCTATTCCCAGAGAAGAGAAATTTTAGACAGCGTGAGCTGAAGTATAATTTCCCTAAAAGAAGGAGTGAACAACAGAGTGGGATGAGAGATTTGTGTGTTTCTATTGACGTTCACTTCACAGGCCGATGGAAATGAAGGGGTGTTTGGTTTGTTGAGTGCAAAACTAATCTAATTAACCTTGCTGCATTCCCGTGTCCCACATTGTGACCTGTGCTGCTGCTCGTAATGAAGAAAAGTGAGGGGGAGACAGACTGGAATATGCTTTTAAAAATGCCTGCAAAAGACATGCTAGAAAAAAACAAACAAATCTCAGCCACAATATAAAATTCAACAAATGCTTTGCACATATAAGATCCACTACCACAAATCATAATTTGGTCACACTTTATTTTAAGGTCCAATTCTCGCTATTAACAAACCATTAACTACTACTTTTGCCTCAATAAACTACTAATTTGCTGCTTATTAATTAGTAAGTTAGTCGTTAAATTTAGGTATTGGGTAGGATTAGGGATGTAGAATATGGTCATGCAGAATATGTGCTTTATAAGGATTAATAAACAGCCAATATGTTATTAATAGGCATGTTAATAAGCAACTAGTTAATAGGGAGAATTGGTCCCTGTACTAAAGTGTTACTCGTAATTTTATTCATATATATTGTGTAATATGTTGTTAGTGATCCACCAATATTAACTAGTATTATGGATACATAATACATCATATTTGCTTACATAATTTCAAACTGATTTTTAATACAAGCCATAGGTGTATTTAAACTTATTGTGACAGTTTTGTTAATTTATGCCTCGTATTTTATGTGTATCTGACATGTATCGCACACCCTGTAACCTGCGTTAATAACCAGCTTAGGTGCTCTAACACGAGTATGCATATGGTGCTGTCGTGACACATGACTTCAAACAAACCCAGACACAAAGCAAGAGGACATTTGCATTCTGTTCTCCATTCATGTGAGAACTACACTGAGAGGAAGACAGCAGCGTGGATGAGATGAGACAGGGAAGGAAGGACGGTTACTATAGAGCGGCGATCTCTGACGTCTGTTACTGCTATAAATGAAGCACAGATTCATAGAGTCAGTGTGTGTTCAATGTAGCCCCCACACTTTTCATAACTTTCATAAGAAGAAGCTGAGAGAGTGGGAGATGATCCGGGGACGGCATCTATAGTATGTCCAGTGATTCAGGCTGGCATCCTTCCTCAACACAACCCTCAGATTGTGTGTCTTGCTGACCAAGCCTTTATACTTTCAGATAATTCTGCTATTTGATATCCTGTGGTGGGCGAGTGGTGTTCATTACCTGTACCGATGAAAGCCTGACATCGTGTTGAGGTTGCCTTTCACATACATCTCCTGATCAATCCTTTCTTTCTCTCTTCATCTGTCCACAGGCTCGAATACTGTGTCCAAGCTTTGGAAGAACAAGCAAATGGAGACCCACAACTGCTGAGCTGTCGGTTCCCCCTCCCTCTTTTCCTCTCCTCCAGTTCCAACTCTTCCTCTCCTTTTTACCTTCTCCCTCTCACTGAGAGCAGGAGATGAGCTCAGAGGAAAAAAGTTCCACTATGTCCCAGAAGATCTCCTCTCCATCTCACAGCAATAGCAGTTCCTCCTCCAAACATGACAGCAGACAGGTAAGTGTGTATGCATTTGATTTGGCAGACGATGAGCTACATTTATAGAAGTATCACTTTTGTTGAAAAAAAAGGTACAAAAGCTGTCAATGGGGCGGTACCCTTTCAAAAGGTACACCTTTTAGTACTTTTGAAAGGTTCTCAGTGACAGCTTTTGTACCTTTTTTTCTAAAACTGTACTGTTTTTTCTTTTTAACTCAACCTGCACCTTTGGAGAGATAACAGTTAAACCTCAAATCTTGTGGCTGATGTCTAATTTTTCATGCAAAGCAATCAAAATGCATAACTAGCACTATCAAATACAAATGCACTGAGGGTGAAGAAGACAGACTTCCCACTGTTTTATATTAGTGTGTGTGAGATAAATTGAGACTTTCAGTTGTTGATTTTCCAGGTTTAATATTTGTCCTGCTGGTACTGTAAATAGGTAGTTGATGTAAAATACTTTTGGGAAATTGACATCCTGCAGTGTGACATGAAATATATCATCTACTGTTTTATAGCATTTTCTCACCCTTTTATAGTAAAAAAAAGTATGAAAGCCTGTTCTCCAAGAAAAATCTCCAAGAAAAAAGTCTTTATTCAAAATACAGTGCTCAGTGCATACCAGAAAAATGCACAATGCAAAGACAAACCGTTTTTTTTATATCAGTCAGGAAACTCTACATGGTGCAGGCTGATTTTTCCTTGGTATATAATCTGCTAGCAATCATATTGTTCACTACAAGGCTAGTAAACTACAGCTGTAACTGCATCCGTTGAGCTTATTTGGTCAACATTTAAATTGTCTGGTTCTGATTTTGCTGTAAACTGGTTCAGCAGCGTGCTATCAGAGTACCTCTGATACCCTCCACCTCCCCCAGCTCCACCTGTCTAGATCAGCTATCTGTCTGTGTATGTCTTGGCAGTAACAAGTCTCCCTACTTGCTCTGCAGTAGCAGCAGCAGCAATAACAACAGCAGCAGCAGCAATAACAGAAGTGGAAATGTAGATCTAGTCGGCCAAGACCAAACAAATTAACATTGTCATCCATTTATATGCTAAAACTACTCTAAGGGCTGTTTTGACTGAAATATACTTTCTTTTATACATTCATATAATTATTAGCATTAAAATCTTGATGTTGATCAAAATAAAAAAAATCCATGGATACAAGCATCTACTGAATATTAGCTTAAATGTAGTGACAAGAGATAGCTGTGTTTGTTCAAAGAGCCTGATGTTCTGTTTATAGGTCTTAGGGTGACTAGCTTGCCTTAACGTCTCCTGATACTTTGCTTCATACAAAAAGGACATTTAGAGTATAAATATTTATAGTGCTTAGGGTTTTTTTTTATATAATTTTCTGAAAGCAAATGAAAAACTAGCCGACAGCGCAGATGAAAGCAGAAAGCAGTGGACTAGACAAAATGTTTCTGGACTTTACCCCAAAATTTCTCAGCTACGCTTTTCCACTTTATCTTCATCAGTCCCATTACCCGCTGTGCTGAAACACAGTATTAATCTCTCTGTTCTCAGTCAGATGACTGTAGGAAATATGAATATAACCGATCTATGAAATGAGCCTTGAGCGCCGGATGAATAAAAACTTAGCAGCCCTTTGTTTTTTTCATTTATTGCAATTCTGAAACACTTCCCGAGGCTTTTGTCTGAGGGAATTAGTGGCAAACTAATCATGTTCTGTGGAAATGAAGGATAAATACAGCAGGGTTCAAAAGTCTGCTCTCAGACCTTTGGTTGCCATTATTTGTCTTCAATCACTGTTCACACAGGTTTGTTCCTATTGTGTATAGACTTAAAATATCTGTGTGCATATGTACACCTGCACATGTGTGCGTTCATATGCTCTGAGCTCCGGAGGGCGGATGCGTGCCCTTCTCCTCAGATGAACAGGCTGACCTGATTATGAGGCTGTAATCTCTAATCTCATCATTTGGTAGCATTATAAAGCTCATTACTCCTTCTAAGCGGAGCTATGTTTCACTGTTCGGGTGGCAGACGTTACTCTCAATACCAACATCATGGAATTATGTTGTGTAGAGTTTAAAGTACTGCAAAGAGGGCTGAAATCCCACCAGGTGATCTGGTACCCACTTCTTCAGAGAAATGTCCTCAGAACTATCTATTACTTTTTGAGACTGCTGGTTCTGTATAGTTTACTTTATAGTATATGTTCTATGACTACACCGTGCTCCTGTATAACTGTATACTTTGTGTCACTACATGGTAGGGCTGCACGATAAATCGCATGCGATATTTAACGCATCCTGTCAGTAAAGCCGGTTCTTTAATCAGCGGTAAATCTCCATCACCTGCGGGCTTTCACATGGAGCAGCATTAACTACACAGAGCCGTTGTTCACCGACAAGCTGCGCAAAACCACAATCATATTTTGCGCATGTTTTGCGCAGCTTGTCAGTGAACAACGGCTCTGTGTAGTTAATGCTGCTCCATGTGAAAGCACGCAGGTGATGGAGATTTACCGCTGATTAAAGAACCGGCTTTACTGACAAGATGCGCGTTAAATATCGCATGTGATTTATCGTGCAGCCCTACTACATGGGTAACAAAAGATAGTTTTCAATGCATCCCTTTGTGGAAAAGATGTGTGCTTTTCTATCGTGTATATATATACAGTAAGTACACGTTTAAAATGCGCATTTTGTAATAATGGCAAATTAAAAGTTTTACTTTAGCGTACATTCATTATATTTTAATAATCTTTTGGTGTGCTTTAAACAAGTACCCTTACTTTTGATGTGTTCTAAAGCACATGTAAAGTACATGATTATAATGTTAACTAGAGTGTGTTATTCGATATTACTTTATTATTTAAATTGTATATTATTTATTATTTAAAGTTAATATATTTTGAATGTATTAAATTGCAGCTTCATTACAAATGTATAATTACAAACAAGTTTAAACATGACATGACATACAAGTTTCCATTGAAATGACATTCTAGTATATTTTAGTTTACAATACAATTATTATATTACATATAAAGATGTACTTAAGTCCTAGTTAAAGGCACAATATGTAAGATTTTTTGAAAACATGGAAAAACCAAAGACGCTTTAATATGTTGTGCGTTTTACTAGACCGGTGACGACTGCACAGAGTAGCATTATAACAGAACTTTTAAATGTATCTAGTATGATAAAACTGCGCTGCTTTTTTTTCCCACATACGCACGACCGGAAGGAGCAGAAGCGGTCGACTGTGGCATAATAAAAGCTCCGCTGCTTTCGAGCCGTGTGTCGCGCTCGTTCAGCGGCCTCGTTTCGCTTCGACGGCTTTCAGCCTCACCCTGCTTCATTCTACTACCTTAATAAATCATTAGCTCATCCATGAACATGATTTCTGCCCGAGTCCCGTCGGATTGCATCGGCTGTGGGGAGGAAGACGACAACTCCCATAATTCCACACTCAGTCACGGCATCATCAAACTACGCCTTTGCCTCTTTGTTTATTTTGAATACGCGCCCTATAGCGGCGAAAATTACATATTGTGCCTTTAAGTGAGTCAAGAAAGAACTAAAGTTCAGCTAATTGCATTTAAACTATATTAGATTTTTATTGCAATTAACGTGCAATTATTGTCTGAAAACATGACATTTAGTATTATTATTTAAAAGTATATTCTCTAATAAGTAAGTCTTATAAGTTTTAAAATTATTCTAAAGTGTTCCTCCTTTTCACAAGGGTTGGTTGATTAGCTGATTTCACTGTCATAACACAGTATATTTTGAAGGTTGTGTTGCTCTTTGATTTGAGCTGTTGTGTAAGAGCGGTTGGTTTCATTAGTCACACTCTGTGGTTCTTAATACATGTTTGGGTTTTGTCCTTGGCTATAGAGATGCCTCTTTGAAAGTTGTCCTTGATGTAGTGAATTGCTGAGCATGTGTTTGGGCAGTGCAGCTCTTGCCTTGAGGAAGAGAGAGTTTGCTGAAGAGGGAGAATGAAGACCCACATTTTTGTCCCGTCTGTCAGCGCTCTAAATAATAAAGAGAATATCTATCCTCTCTAAATTTCCACCTGATTGAGAACAGTATGCACATTGTTAATTGCCCACATTCTGATATCAAATGGAGAAGAATCCTGTTTGCAGCAACTCCATTTTTCTAGCTGTTGCCTTCATGTCTTTCTAAAACATTTTCTGTAAATTTATTTAAATTTTTTAAAAAAATCATCACTTTTCAATCCACACTTTCATCATTCATTTTAAATCCACAAATATCTACAGTATTTATCACTCAAATAAGAAGTATGCGGTATGACCAAAATCTTATATATCATGATAATTAATTTTGTCATGAAAGCGATATATATCATGAAAAATAATTGAAAAAAGTGTATATATTAATTTACTTATATATTAAATAACCATAATGTCTACTCTATTCCATATTAATCTGTCAAGTGACTTCCTCAATTTGTCTTTATTTGTTGACTCTCTGGTTTCACATTGCATGTTTTTCATCATTATAACAACATTTATTATGAACATTTTTTCATAGGCACTGAGTTAATATCACTACACTGATTCATTGTACAGTGTGTGCATGTATTGAATTGAATTGTACAGGACAGCTGGGAGATTGTGGAGGGTTTGCGTGGTGGTCTTTCCAATGTTCAGGAGCCAGAGAAGCAGGCTGGCTACATGCTGAAGAAGAGAAAGTGGCCAATGAAAGGTTGGCACAAGGTATGTAGGAAATGGTCATGCATTAATTAAAAAAAATAATAATTTGGAAAAGGTGGAATAATTAGATAAATTAGTGCAGAGATTTCCAGATCTGAGCGGATTCGTGCTAACCTGCCTGAACACATTGCACTCATTCTGATGGACTCTCCACTTAAAAAAATACTCAAATTTGTTACTGCCAAATTTATTTTTTGATTTAATATTAATCAAAAATATTTATAGACAAAAAAATTCGTAGACAAAATCATTCATACGGAGTATAGAAATTATTTATTATAAAAATCTCACTTAATCAAATTTTCTTCAGACACAAGACAGCATGTTAATGTAGGTCAACATAATAATTTTTGTTTTTTTTATAACTTAATTTCACCCTAAACAAAAACAAAATGAGCTATAATATGAAAATTAAGACGGAAGACCTTAATGTTTATTGTGCTGTCTTTTTAAAATATGCATCATCTTGTCTGTTATGGACTAACAACAACAATGAAAACACCAGAAACATTAATAAAACCCACACTAATGTCTGTTGTTTCTTTTAATTTTTTCAATGATGAGTCCTTTTTGATTTTAGCCAAACTGAACTAAACAGGTTAAACCAGAAATTATGATTTTTGATTAGACTAACATAAAAATGCACTTTAAATAAATGGCAGTCATTTCACTTTTTTTCAGTGTTGACAATTAAAGCACCCATTCTGTTCAATTTAAGCACACAAACACAATTAAAGGTGATGTTAGCATTTTTTGATGCATGCAAAAATACTTTCTTCTATGCCAGTTTAATATTCAGATACAACCCTGAGTAAGCCATTCAAAGGTCTGTTCTCCAAAAATACCCATATTCCCCTTCAGCCAAACAGTGAATACAAGAATAGACAGAAAAGAGGCATAGCGATACACAGCCTCTCATTCATCAAGAGTGCGTAAGCATCCCCTGAGAGGACATTCATCATTTACCAAATAAATCTGACCCAAGTTTCTCCTCTGTCCTCTCCTATTTGTGCTTCTTTCTTCACAGAGATTCTTCTACTTGGACAAGGGCATTTTGAAGTACGCCAAATGCGCAGCTGATGTGAGTCTAAATGGCCCCACATGTGTACACACACACACACACACACACACACTCACTCAATCCATTGAACTAAAGCACTCAGGACTATTAGTGGTCAGTTCCCCATCATGTAAGTCTTCACAGAGCTCCAGCAATCTTTAGTGGTCCTAAACCTCCATCTTTCTGTCAATATATATGTTTCCTGCTGATAAAAGCCTCAAGCTGTGGGAATGTAAAATCAAAGTTAATGTCCCCAGGGTTTGATAGCATCGTCTAGAACCGATATTTTGCAAATGTAAAGCGGAAAATTTCATAACAGAATCTGTTATACAACCTACCTTCCCTCATGCCAGTCTGCTCTCCTAAACAACATTATGAAGTGGACGCTTAGAGCCAGGGTATTAATTTATAATGAACGTACGTATTCAACCTGCCATATATCTTTCAGATGTAGCTGGAGCCTGTTTGGCCTCTAAATCAAGGGCACTAGTTGAATGTGCCTGTGAGAATGGATCATTGACAAGGTTATCCATTAGCAAAATTAGCCAGAGCCCTCTTGCATTTAATGTGCTGCAAACTTGTCACCTTTTGTGAAATTTACTGTTTTGAATGCACAATATGCTTATAGAGGGCTATATGCTCACAAATTCAAAATTTAGTGAGTTTATGGGGTAAATGATTCTTTTGAGCAGGTCATTTTTAATTAATATTTTTAACTAATCAGTGTAGTTATTGACTGGTCAGTTATATGTCAGTATGTAGTTAAAGATGCACTTTATAGTTTTGTCAGTATTATTTTTAAAGTATAAAATGTATTTACTTTTTTCAAATATGTATTCCTGATAAATGCTAAAAGATTTATTAATGGAATCAAATTCTTAAATTCTTCACAATTCTCATCACTACTTCTATGTCACTCATGCAAACCTATGAAATAGCCACAGTAAGATGGGATGACTAGGGCTGTTGTATCACAGTAGATTTCATTATTTGTGGAAAAGCACAAGAGCCAAGAATTCAATTTGAATCTATATTCATTTGAGGTTTAACCAGGAGCAACATATTTGCTCAGTAGTAATTTGAGTACATTGCAACAAAGTAGCATCTGTTGTATTGATATACAAGGTAGGGGTGATATTTTATAGGTCAAACCTTCTGTCTGTGCTTTGTGCAGGTCGAGAAAGGCAAGCTCCACGGCTGCATTGATGTGGGGCTGTCCGTCATGGCCATTAAGAAGAAAGCCAAGTGCATTGATCTGGACGCTGAAGAAAACATTTATCACCTGAAGGTATCACAACAATTATCGTATTAGACTGACCTTAGAGTCAGAATGCTCTGCGGTCACAGGAAAAGCACTAGTGGAGATTGGTGCATACCGTAATTTTGCTGCAGTTTTACTGGAACATGTTACATTATGATGGTACAGGAGATTTGCTTTAGCCTTATGTTAAAGTAGCACTGAGTAGTTATGATTTCTTTAATGAAGTTTTGTGGCTGTGTGAGAAAGAGATTTGATGTACTTTGATATTCAGAACTGAACTGAGAATGAATTTTAAATGCCAGTATAATTCAGTTTAAATTAATGGAATGTTATAGGTAATATGTATTAAAAATTTTAATTTAATTCTGAAGTTCAATTATAGGTTAATTAAGTATAATTGCACTTAAATTCGAATTACAGTTCTAATTACAATTTAAGTAGAATTGCACTAGTTAGTTGTATTAGTTAATAAAATTTGCATACACACACATATATACATATATATATTAGGGCTGGTAAGTTATTAAAAATTTTAATCTAATTAATTACATGATGTGGCAATTAATTAATCTAATTAATCGCAAATAAATCGCACATCCAATTTGGTTGAGAAATTACTCCCAAAAGATCATTTAAAGTCATTTTTGTGTAAAGCATCAAACAGACATTACAAAAATTAGCTTCAGCAAGAAATATTTTGTTTGATAAAATTTATTACATATACTCTTTTGAACCATGAGGGTGAGTAAATGATGACACAATTGTCAATTATTTTATTTTATTAATTTTATTATTATTACTATGGAAATATGAAATTATTT